TTTCAGTGAGGTTTGAAAGGAAAATGCTTTATACAGCAAACATGAGCAACAGCTGAGAGGAAGTTGTATATAGATCTCTCCATCTTCTTTTACAGTGCTTGGGATACTCAGACTACACAGATGAGAAGACAAATTGAATAAGTTTTTTTCTAGAGCCAGATCAACAGTAAAACACCACCACCATCACCACCAACAACAAAACTGTCAGGAAATTAAGAAAAGAAAAAGATCCTGATTTGATTTGACTTGCGGGAAATTTACATCAACTAGCTTAGTTCTCAAAAAAAAACTAGATCTGCAACCTACTCATTTTTATGCTTCCCAGCTACAAAGAAGCTAGATTTTGTTTTTAAATCAGGTCTTTTAAACAAAAGTTCCATCTGTTAAGCTCCCTCTTCTGGATAATGAATATAATTGCTTGCATATTGAAAGCAACTCAAAATTTCCCACTTCTGCCAATAAAAATTGACTACACTTTAAGCTAATTACAGAGCAGTTCTTGATATTGAAATTTGTAACATAAGTTTTCAAGATTGCCATTCTGCAATCTCAGTGACAAGTTGCACAAAAAAACCAACACTGGAAGTCAAACTCTGTACCTGATGAACAATCAACCCTCTAGACTAGCAAAAAGATAATAAGCACTGCTTCATATCTTCTGATATAGGATGCACTTTTCCCTGTTCCACCTAAAACTATAATTAATTTCATCATAAAAATCAAAATCAATCAATTAGACATTTTAAAAAACACAAGCACTTAGTTGAGGAAACTATCAGTCATGGGAGGCCATTAGAAAACTCATTCATATTTTCATCCTTCAACCAAACAAGAAAGAAACAAAGGTCCCCCTGCACTTTCTTCATCAAGGACGAGGAGCAACCTAAGAGCTCCGAGCTCCTGGAAGCACCTACACGCCCCTGCTGCACTGCAGGTTTCACGCTCCATATACACTAGAGAGATGTGTAAAATATAGCTCACTCCACAAAGATGCAGAATTCATCAGCCACACACAGATAAATAGCCATCTTACAGGRGTAAAATAATTACAGATAATTAGTGTTTATCTTATGCACTGACCTATGTTAATAATGCTAGAACGGTTGCTAATAGCTGGTGTGTTGAAAGCAGCCAGAATGACAGTCAGTTTCAGTTAACAGTTTCAGAAATTAGTAGAGCTTGGCTAATAGGCTTAGCCTTAGACATTAATAGGCTTGCACTTCTACACTGAAGTTCAATTGAGCTTTCTAAACACTGGTCCTTTTCTTTCTCTTGCTGATATTTAATGGAAGCAGAATTAATGTGAATTATTACTAAATAGGAAAATATCAGCAACAGACTTGAGCGTTTTGGTCCCATTCATTCTAATCTTTTTAGGCAATATTGTCAATTTAGTCACAAGGCTGAAATAGCAGAAGTGGAGACAGAATTAATTTGTAACAGTAAGCCCAGCACTATTCACTCAGCTTTTCTATAACTGTACTGATCTTGCTATCTTATCTGTATGATAACAACATGCACTTGTAGAACATTCTTCTGACGAGCAAATTATCACTACATGTACAGAAAAAAAAGTTAACTTTCTGACATCATTCAGGGTAAAAAAAAAATCTAAAAAACAGAAATAAAATAAACCAAAGTCCAGTTCCAGTGCAAGACAAATGCCTGAAATAACTCTGAAACTTCTTATTCAGTCTCCCTTGCCACAGATATATGAAAGCATTACAGCACTACTTAAGTGTCCAAGGGAGAAAAAAAAATAAATAAATAAATAAAAGGCACATTTTGTAGTAAGTAAAATTATTTGGGGAGTAGATACTTACTCAGGACAGGAAAGAGCATGTGAAGAGAAGTGAACAAAGCCATGCTGGAAGAAATGGTACAGAAAGCACCGAATCCAGGCTCGGAAGCCATAAGGCGGGCAAGGGCTCCTTCTTGCGCTGCTGGATCAACGAGCTGGAGCCGCTGCTGCTCCTCGGCCCATGAGACGGCTTGTGGAGAGAGGCGGCTACCGGCCTCAAAATTACAGGCACATGTAACAGTCACCTTCCTTGTCCAGCATGCAAATTAATAGCAGAGCCTGGCAAAATTTTCCATTTTCTCCTAAATCAATCCCAGGTAATTGTAGGTGATTTCTATGGAAACGACGATTCAAAGCAAAAGGAGAGTAATACGTAGAAGAGAGTGAAAATCACAAGTCCAGATGAAAACAGCATACAAAATATAAAAAATAATTCATTCAGTGGTGGGTTTTCATTATTTCAATTACTGCAGTAGCACGATGGCTCCTGTTTAACAGCCAAGACGCACACTGTGCCAAGCCATTTTTACGAGGCTTCTGACAGAGTTCTTTGGATGACGGCAGACAGTGAGTGCATTCAGCCCTGACCTCAAAAAATCGTTTCTTCTTCAGCAATCACTTTGTCTAGCATCAAACCAATTAATGGGAGCTCCCTGGAAGGAAGTTGTTTTATATCTGTGCCCCTACTACACCTTTGAATCAAATGCAATTGAACATCTGTTTCTGCTTTCTAAAGCTTAAATGAACATTTAAAACCAAATCAAACAAACAACAATGAAATACAACAAAAGAAAAAAAACAGAAAAATACATAAAACTGTAACTGCAAATCAGACTTGAAATAAATCTATTTTCAGAGAGGAAATGGCTAAGACACMATCAGTAACTTGGGATGATCTGCAGATTGATGAAAAATCTCATCCTGGTCCCTGACAGCAAGAGAAAACAGTCTCTTCTTTCATGTATACAATTTTATATCCCTTTCAAAACACACCAGCCTTTAATCTATCAATTCTAAAGACACTGATGAATTATTCCTGCGTTCGCTACAGGCCTGGCCTGGAAGCCCTCAGCTGGCTCTCCAAGGTGGAGGGAGCTCCCCAGCGCTCCAGGCACTTGGCTGGCCACCGGTGACTGTCCCAGCGGTGCCCAAGCTCCAGGGCGAGGGATGTCCCCGGGATGACTGCAGGGAAAGGACGCAGCAAAGGAGGAACAGACTCAGCCACCTGGGGCTCGAAGAAAAGCGAGAAGAGCTGCAACCAACACACAGGCATCTGGGACAAACTGCTGAGGGCGCCACCAGCTGGGGACCGAGTCTGCACCAGCACAAACTCATCACAATCACTGCTGTTGCAAACGACAACCATTTCACTCCTGGTTAAACAGGTAACAGGGAGATGTGTTTTAACATTGGAAAGTTTCTAACAATTTTAAAACTCAGAAGTTTTTGACAAAAAAAAGAAAAACTTTTCTTGAATATCATTTGTAGACTTACAGTATTTCTGTTGCAAGACAGCTGCTCTGATTCATCTACAAATTCTCTTGTCCTAATGGATAGGCATGTCCTAATGCAGCTAAATTTCAGCTTAATTTGTCATGTTAATTAGGATTTTTTTTTTTAATAAAAACATAATGCCACTTGATTGGCCATATATACTCACGGAAAAAAAAAAATTATTGGTACTCGTAATGAAAAGGTATATGGTGTAGGAGCAAATCTAGAATAATGAAAAACCACTGAATCATTAAGACTAGGAGAAAAAAGTCCCAGATATGAGCATAATAGCATGAGAAAAAAAGAGCAGACTGTGTGAAGCTTTGATAATTTGACAAGTTGACAATACCCCTGAGGGAATACAGAAGGCGAGATAGAAACAAAGATTGAGAAGGACCTTTATACRGAAAAAGTAGCCTGCAAATCCATTTCAACCATTGTATTTCTTACAATATCTTTCCATGGATATGAGTTCTTTGTATCACGGAGAAACAGATCCTTTACACATTGATCCAATAAAGCAAGAACAGATGCTATGCCATCATCATAATAATATCATCTATGTCTTCCACTGCTTTTTCACCAATAAGGTCCTATACGCTTTATAAAATAGACTTCTCACCTCTTTATTTAAATAAATAAATAAATGAACAAAGTTTGCTCAAAGTCAGGAGGATGCTTAATAGCAGAACTGGAATCAAAACAGATACCTCAAGTTTTTAACTCAATAGTGTAGTACCTTTCAAATAGGAGTCTTGTATTTTGAATTATCAAAAGAAAATGTAAATTATTCCACTCCAATGCTGCATCACTGCATATTCTATTTTAAAATTTAACAGACTGATAATAACATCTTCAGTTAACATAGCTATCCTTTAAGTTACTAAATCTCCTAGTCCATCTTATTTGGCATTTTGATTGACAAAACCAGCCCAGCAATCCATTTCCAAAGTTTTGCTATACTTCTATCTGTGACTAGCACTTTGAAAGTACTCTTTTATGAAGTCTTTTCATAACTTTTCTTCTAAGTGAGCTCTACAGTAAATCATTGCCAGATTTCTTATAAACAGGATACAAAACTAAGAAAAAGCACCCTTGCACTTATATTCTTTGACTCCTTGGACTTGGCACAACTGACCAGGAAATCTGCAGTTCCATGAAAGTAGCACAATTTTCTTTTTAACATAGTCTTTGATAAAAATGCATACAGAATCTGCCATCCCATTCAATAGCAGAAAAAAAACGAAGTCACTAATGGAAGAAAATTAAAGGCTTGCAAATAATTACCGTGCAGAAGCAAAAGTTCCTTGCTGATGTGCTATAGGCTATAAACTTAAGAGGGGCTCAGGACAAACAACAGACAAAACTTACGAAAGCTTCTGCTTTCATTAACAAAGGCTGGAAGATTAAACATTAGTAAAAAAGTGGAAAGAAAAAAATGTTCAAAGATTAAGTGTGAAAATAAAATCTGAAAGAAAAACACAAAATGAAGTGCTGCAATTGAATACAAAAAAAGTCTGAACGTTTTAAAACACAGAAAACACTTTAATAGCAGGAAATGCAAATCAAGTAACTACTTAGACTTTTTATCAGAAAGAGTCATTAGTGCAGAAATATTTATGCTCATCAATATTACATGTTAGTAACGTAAAGAAAAATCATGAAGGAATTACTGCTCCCGCAAAACAGAAACAAACATTCTTACCTTTGGCCATTTGGGATTTAGAAGTCGTGCTTTGATCGCATCATCCAGTGCCTTGTCATACTGATGAATCTTCATGTAGGCTGCAGAACGGTTACTGTAGAGAATGCAGTTCTGCGGGTCGACTCCCAGAGCCTCATTGTACAACGTGATCGCTGTACGGAAATCGCCATCATGGCAAGCCTGGTTGCTCTGACGGACTTTCTCTACAAATTCAGCTTTGCTCAACATGGAGCTGTCAGGACTTCTTTTTCCACAAGATTTTGATCCAAAGAAAGAAATCTGTGGGAAAAAAAAAAAAAAAAAAAACAGATGGTAGTGTTAAGAATTGAAGCTCAAAAATACTATTAAAATTGTCAAAATACTGGAAACTGTATAGTAGCAATTAAAGCCATCAGCACTACAGGAGGAATCCTTAACTAGGAATCTGATTTTTTTAACCACTTGTTTATTGACTTTTTTTTTGTACAAGGAAAGCAAGAAAAACCCTTATAGAACATCTATTTCTCATGTGCAGGATGTTCCAGAAAATGTACACTTTCTTCAGGCATATGACAAGCCATAATGTTTTTAATATATCACATTGCGTATGTTCACACCTTCTTTTTCCTCTCAAAGTACTTGATCCTACAACATCCCAAACATTTTAAGGATAACGAAGGTTTATGAAAAGGTGGCAGGACTGAATGTGAAGATGATCCTGGTATATTCAAAGTTTAATGCAAAGGTCAGAGAATCATAGAATCATAGAATGCCCAAGGTTGGAAGGGACCTCAGAGGTCATCGAGTCCAAMCCCCCTGCWCACGCAGGGTCACCTAGAGCACGTGGCACAGGGCTGCATCCAAGCRGGTTTTAAAGATCTCCAAAGAAGGAGACTCCACAACCTCTGGGCAGCCTGTTCCAGTGCTTTGTCACCCTCACAGTGAAGAAATGCTTCCTTAAGTTCCTGTGGAACTTCYGATGCTTCAGTTTGAAGCCATTTCCTCTAGTCCTATCACTGTCCACCACTGAAAAGAGGCCGCCCCCCTCCTCCTCACTGCCTCCCTTGAGGTATTTATACACGCTGATCAGGTCCAACCTCAGCCTCCTCTTCTAGCGTCTCCAGCAGGTCGAGGGAAGTGATCATCCCCCTCTACTCAGCCCTGGTGAGGCCACATCTGGAGTACTGCGTCCAGTTCTGGGCTCCCCAGTACAGGAGGGATGTGGAGCTGCTGGAGAGAGTCCAGCGCAGGGCTACCAGGACGATCAGAAAACAAGCGTGTGCAGAGACAAGTATAAATTCTCTTTGAAATGAAGAACTGCACTGGTGCATCTGCACACAAACCGTGGCATAAAGCCAAGCGCAGACTGTAAATTCTTTGTGAACAGAGAGGTCCGTGGAATAGAGTACAATTGCACAAATTAGTGGGGCATAAAACCTGTGCCATCAACAGAGCAGCCATCCTTGCTTCTAGGATTGTCCAAGTCAGACTACACAAACAAGGAAAAACAGCTTCAAATTACACAGTTTTAGATCTTCTAACTGGAGAAGCTCTAAAGGTTTAAAGTGAGCTACAGCAGACCCCAGTTCCACCACTTCCCTTGTGCACTTTAAATTAAAAAGTAGCAGTCATGGAGCACTGAAACTCACTAATAACAAGCGAGCAGAGCAATCCTGTAACTGGCAGGAGGGCATTCCACACACAGGCAGCTTCACCTGCCGAGCAGCCACAAAACACAGAACCCCCCTTCCCCACGCACACGGTGGTACTTGAAGTTGCTCTGATTCCTCTCTACCTTTACCCTTCTACAGTCTTCATTTTACTCAGCCAATCATCTGCCTTTAGTAACTGTCTGTCACATGTACCCTATTTCCTCCCAAAGACCCACAAAAACATCAGCACAAGAACATCTTTGTCCAACTTTGACTAAAAGACAGCTGAGAATTTTGCAGTTATTTTATTTAGCTACAGTTAATAGGCACATACAGAAACACACAAGGTACTTCCCATTGTTAGCCCTCCAGACAAAAAAAGGTTAAAAAACTACATATTGTTACCACTACACAACAGTTGCATTGCTTAAATATATACCCAGGGCAAGCTAAAGATTATTTTTAGGTGGAAAGGAAAGCAGGCTGGAAACTGACTGACATCCTGTCTATAGGCATGAAAGTGCTCTATAGACTTCTTCAAGGGTTAAGGAAGAAGAAAAAAAAAAGTACAGGTCTTCCCCCTTGTGTCCTTCTCCAGGACACTCCAGGTTTTCCTCAGGTAACTCTTTTCCATTGATTCATGATTTTCACAATTAAATTATTTTCCCAAATCTTCTTTGTATCAGCAAATGCAGTTTCTTATCCTGTCTACAGTAAAATTATGGAAAGAGTTCATTCCTTTTATCTATCTATGTAATTGCTTTCGGATTCCTGCCTACGTAAGTTAATGTGCTGCTTGACTTTTAAATTTTTTTTTATTAGAAACAGTACAATAAAAAACAAATTTCTGTATCCTGGAAAATTTATTCCATATGCTGTACATCTTTAAATGCAGTGCATATTTCTCTGCTACTTCTATCAAGTTTAGAAACAGCAACTTCATATATTTTCAAGCGCTAGCAGGAAAATTGACCTATTCTGAAGCCCAATAACTGAGCTGAGCATACTACTTTATGCCAAGCAGTATGGTAATTCCTATCTTGATAAGCATGCATGTAACCATAAACTTCACTACACAGCCAGTTTGCCGTTATCTAAGGATCTGCAAGGACTGAATATTAAGATACTTGTATTCAGTAGCAGCTCTAGATGAGTGGATGTTCAAACATGAAGATCAGGAAGCCCCGAGAAAACCAGGGAGTCAGTAGAAGGTCATGGCAGAACTTAACGGGAGGACAGGAGCAGAGAGGGGCAGGAAGGTGGGTGGTGGGCACCTGCTGCTGGCAACCACTCCAAGAACTCACAGTTTGCACAGAGGGTCGCCCCTTGCAGGAAGGCAGGAGAAAAGGCAAAGGAAGTATCTCATTTCTCACATACCATTTAATCTCCACCTGCTATTTTCCTCTGTAGTTTCTGAAGGTTGAGCTTCTCCAATTCAAAAAAAAAAAAAAAAAAAGACATTTCTGTCTGCTCTCAAAGCCCATTTAAATTAACAAATGTAATACTGTCACGTGATATTCTTCTCAGCAGGCAGATCTAACAATTCTCATGTAATTTCTCATACCATTAAGGTCAGAGCAGCTAACAAACTTCACACTATTCTTATTTCAGCAGTCCTATGTTTGTACTGGCATTTGTTCCTGGAAATTAACAGGAAAGCAGAAAACTTGATTTTATACAGCAGGAACCAGCACTTCAGAGTCACCGCAGGGATGAAAATCCAATGAAAATCCAAGTCTACGTAAGGAGCATACAGCATTTTATAGGCTTTAGTATATGCCCTTCAGTTGAGGACTARAAGAAGTTTATAGCTTAAACATGTCAAAAATGTCCCGAAAGCAGTTGAAGTTTCATGCAATATTCAAGGAAATTCAGGACTCACAGTCTCTTCTGAAAAACATATAAAAATTAGCAAACATAAATTAACAAGAGCGTTGAAGAAGTTACACTGCCAGTTCTCAGGATTTCAGAGGACAGAACCAGCGCAAGCTCTTCAGTGATGTCAGTAATCACCCTGATCCAAAATCCTTAGAAATGGTCTTCAAATAAACTCCTTTTCCAAAGCTGTCAGCTATAAAATCAAGAGGTATTTTTATCCATAAAGGTTTACCAAAACTTTTTGGAATCCCCTGCTATGTTCTTAGCTTTTCATCTTCCTACCACAATTCTGACAAACCTAGAGATTTTCATGATAAAAATAAACTTCTGCAGTGAAATTCAACTTAAATAATTGGGTATAGCAGGCAGCACAACTCAAGTTTCTGGCACAACCAATATGCACAGTACTTGTACAATATGCATAACTGATCAGAAGGACAAGTCAGTCCATCAGAAGAGTAGAAGAAAGCACTCAAAATTAGAAGTATCTTCTCTTTAGAAGTCATCCACATTCAGAATTGGGACAAGGTTCTCCTCCCAGTCTCTAAATTATATATTTTGTCTGCACAGTTTTAGGACCAGAAAATAGATTTTTTTTCCTCTTGAGACCTATTTTGCAATTGCATCTTCCTTGCAGGTGGTCATACCATTTAACAGTCATTTACAAGCACATCAAGCATTAATTAATGTTTCTTCATAGCAATCACAGAAATTTTCCCGGAGTTTGAAGTAAAAGAGCTCCACTGATGCAATTTGAACTTCTTAAGATCTAGCTTGCTCAGGATAAGATAGACAGGTGTTATCATCTGGACAAAGAAAAACAGCTTCAAATTCCAAAGAACTATACAAAAACTAAATAAAATGATCAACTGTAATTCTAGTTTCCCTTAACCAAATGGCTGCATTGTCCACTATGGAATTTATTATGATGTGTTAAATACAGCCAATTTCAATCAACAAAAGTGAATGAAGCAGTAAACAATTTTGAAAAAAAACTCATCAGTTAGTCACATACATAACCAGAGTAGAAGACATGATTTTTTCAGCAGAAAGCCTGAATATATTCCTAAGGAACAGCCTCCTTTATGAGGCTGTTGTTATGGTTATGTTTATGTTGTTATGTTTATGTTCAGCATAAACTGTGAAGGAAACAATTTTGCTTCTAAAACTTATTATTTTGACCTACACCAAGCTGAACCTGTCAAAACAGTACACAGCAGAATCAGCCAAGGTGACCTCTAGCTTGAACACTGATCATGTGAACACAAACAAACAAAAATCCACAATTGATTTGTTAAGCAATGAGAAGCTTATGGGTACAACCTTTCAAAGTATTTTGGTTTCTCAGGTGTATTTTTCAAAGTGCCCTGTCTCTGTTTTAAGTATTTCCAGACTACCGGCTTATGTACCACTACATCACATCGATGTGCTGTGCTTTCCACTTTCATTACATTCAGAACAAATGATTGCAGCTTCCAGATGCAAGAGTACCAGGATGTCTCAAGAAATAGCGCTTAAGATGTCCCTATTTAGAAGGGCAGTACTTGAAGAAGCAGTCTCCTTAATGGCAAGAGTTACAACTGAAATAGTCCATCTGTGGAAAGACAGTTAAGTCTCTTTGGAAGCATCGCACTTGGAAGCAGCCACCTTGGCACAGCTGGCAGCCAATGGCATCTTTCTTCTCACCTCTGTGCAACCRCAAGGACAGATACTGCTGAAGCACAGAAGCCATTTGCTCAGGAGCAACTTAACCCAGAGTTACTCAAGTCTGCACAAACAGGTCTCTGCAAGGACAGATCTCATCAAGCAAGATCTCAAAGCATAAAAGTCAGGCAAAAAGAACATCCAAGTCGCACCAAAGCTGCATTCTGTGTCTGTTTATTATGCAGGAACAAACCAAAACACAAAGCTGTTAACCTCTTCAGAATAATCCAGAATAATTGCTTTGAGAGCCCATAGCGAAGGTTAGAGACCCTCACAGCTCAAGTAACTTGGTTCCTGCTTTTAATAGCCCAAGGAGCTAAATAGCCTCATATATTTAAAAAAAAAAAAAAAAAAAAAAAAAAAAAAAAAAAAAAAAAAAAAGGAATTGTTTTAAAGGAAACTATGATCATAACTTCTACTGTTTGCTATTATTTAATTCCCTCTGTCAGGAGAACTACTTAGAGCAGTAAAATGTCCTTACATAAAAGAAAGAAGCACAGAGCAAAGCCAAGCCACTCTGGCACCCAAACCACAGAGAGAGGGGTTATTACATCTGCACAAGGTACTGTACCAGCAAACACGAGCTACCCATTACAAACACTCCCCCACTTTCTGTTCACAACTGCTCTTCTGTGCTGCTGYTACTACTACAGCACAATGATGGCAATGCACATACTTAGGCTGCCTAACAGCATTACGAAGAACATCCAACACCTGAAGGTCTTTCCTTCACTCTTTACAAATCCTGCAGGAAAAGCCAAAGTTCCTTACTGCCACGGAAAAAACAAAACAAAACAAAACAAAAANAAAAAAAAAAAGGAGCTGCTCAAGCGAAAAAGAGGATCCATCAGAGACAATTTAAGGCAGAAGCTCCTGTAATACTAACAAAGAAGAAGCACAAGCTTCTTGACACCAGACTTGGGTTCGCACCCAAGCAAGGGTGCACCAGGCTTGGGCACCAGACACCAGGTCCTACTACAGATGGCACCAGGTCACACCAGACAGATGCTTGCACCAACTGGACTCAGCAGTTACCCCTTCTCTGGGGCCAGAGCTTCCTCTMTCCTCCTCCTCCTGAAGTGCTCAAGATACAGCCTTTCTGACTACTCAAGATGAGCATTAAAACACAGTTTCCTACATCTGTTTTATTTTCAAGAAAAAATGAATTCTTAACCCCTAAAGCAACTAAGTTGAATACACTAACAAACCGACATTACAAGAGTGTTTATCTCCCAAGATTAAGCTTGCTAAAGTTAGTCTTCTACAGAGACCGAACATTTATAAGCAAAAATGTGTTCACATGCGCAGAAACATCTGTCTGAACAGCACATGGTCATCCAGAACACAGAAAGAATCACATTCTCAATAAATTCCAGTAATATGAATGACAAATGATAACAGCCAAAATCCAAATTCTACTTGGAAAAAAGAGAGCAATGAAGAACAGCGTGGTAAAGGAGCAAAACGGAAAACAATGTGATACAAAACCATAATGCTGGATTATAAAATGATAAATCTTAGCTAATATTATACAAGTGCAATTCAAAAAATATTCCTTATATAGACGGTGCTTTTGGTGGCAAGTCTATAATTAAGACTCCTTTAAAAAAATAACAACTTTCAAAAAAATATAATATGCAGTATTTTTATGTTATTTATTTAAATAGCTCAAGATAGTCAGTAAAGCAACAGGAGAGCAGAAATAAATGTAAAAAAAAAGCTAAGTAGATAAAGATAGCATTGCAGAAGAATTCTGAAGCAAAGTGACAGTTACTTACTGTAACTACAGATTCATAAAGTGAGTTCAAACCTAAAACCAAGCTTCCTTTTCTCCGCAAACAGCTCCATAACATCTTATATTTTGCAACTGCCTCTAAGCAGGCTAGATTGAAAGTGTTGTTGAACGATACTTTCACCTAACTTGGAGAAGTTCACCTCTTCATGTTCTTTCACTCCAGACTCTGGGGTAAAGGAAAACATCTGGGACAAGAGTCCAAGAATAGACAAAGGATCCAGAGTCCCTGCCAACAGCGGCGGAGCTGGGAGCACTGCAGTTACACACGGCAACGCTCCGAGCAGACACAAAACCTGCCAAGCCACATGCAGCCTTCCCCCGATCACAACAGCGGGTGAAGGGATGAAGGAAAAGCCACTGAAATTGCATGTTTCAGAGAAGCCGGTTCTGCTGCCCAGGCCGCGGGGTGATGTCCACAACAGCCACTCCATGCTTCCAACCTGTGTTTTGTCTTCGCAGACTGCTACGAAGCACTGCTCTTGAGAAAAACACACCTCCCATCTCTGCTTGCATCGATGCAAGCAAGCAGTTCTCTAAAGTCCCGTGACACAGCACATATGCCCAGTGAGCAGGACACAAGTGAGCTGAACAACGACAAAGACTAACCCAGCCTTAAAACTGTAGATGACCGACAGAAACATGACTCAATGGGACTGGCCCAAACGGGACTGGCCCAAACAGGCCTGTCCCATTTGGGTGCCCAACACAACAGCACTGTTTTCTCAATGCATGACGATGAAACACCTTCAGTGTAGAGAACAGATTACATCTTATTCTAAAGATTTAAGAAACAAACAGATGTCAACAATATACCCAAATTCTATTTTTTTCCAGCTTCTTTCTTGGGTGTATGCTTGTGTTCCTTCACCTCAGTCAAACCTATCATCAGAGCAGAATTTAAAGGGAAATATATACCAAGTTATACTGGCAAGGATGTTGAAAAAGGGGGAACTGCATGGACTGTGGATGCCACTCAAAAGTCCACACAAATTCACTTAATAAATTCAAGACACTGGCAACACACTCATCTTTCTCAATTTCTTACTGTAACATTCAAGTAACTTTCTAGGTTTCATGGCAATCTAACCCGAATTGCTTGATGCAAAATGCAGATGAGCTACTGAAATGCTCACCTCATACTGCTGTTTATACATTAATAAAACAAAATTACATCAAATGTAAAACTAGCTGCCCAGAGCACAGAAGGCTCAGTATACTGTGGGAAACAGCAGAACGCATTCAATGACAAACAATGCAAAGTAACAGGGAAAAAAAAAACCCCACAGTTGTTCATCAGAATAGCTGATCCTAAACTTTCTCTTAACATTCACAAGAGACATGTTAAGAGTCTTGTTCTCATAAGCAGTCAGAGAGGTGAGTAAAAGATGAGTAAAAGAATGAGAATACTTTAAATTTAATTGTTGGGAAACRATCGTGCCATGCTAAAAATATATGGTATGAGGTACATTGTAACATTAGAAGTCTTGAATATTCAAAAAGTTCATATTATTTGTTACAATAGTACATATGAAAAACTATCCTTGTTTTTGTAAGTACATACTGTCTGGAAATYCAAAAAGTAAGTCTTTTACACATAAATCACATCTTGCTCTTCAGACTTGCTGTTTTTATACAGCTTTATATTTAAGGAACTACAACGCTGAAAAACAGTATTTATTAATACTTATCTTTTAGCTCCAAGTAACTGTTACATTGGGAACAATACTTTCATCATAGTTTAACACTAAATGAAAGAAACTGTTGAATACACCCCAATTCTTATGAAAGATTTCATAGATTATGCTTAAAAAACTTGTTCGTAGTATGGATATCTAGATACACAGTAATGGCAGCGGACACATTACAGATGCCTAAAATGGACCAATCCTCACATATCACTTCCAATCACCTAGAAGCTCCAAAGTACACATTTATGCTTTAGATCTGTGTACTCAGAATGCTTTCACTGTAAGAACAGCTGGAATTTGACATGTGCTAACTGAAACTTCAGCAACGTTGTCAAAACACTGGTCACTGGCACGTCTGCCTTCTATGATGCCTTCGCATGGCAGGCTTAACAGCCTGAAACTGCACAGGTGCAGCAGGGAAGACTAAATCGTCCTCGTCTCCCTTAAAACAAAAATCTAGCATTAGCGGCCTCAGAGATAATCTTCAAAAGTAAATTAGGGAATGCAAGTTCAAGTTTCTGTTTGAGCATGCTGAAAGCCTTAAAACCAGAATGCAAACTCTCCAGGTTCCAATTAGAAAGTTGCCTTGAAGATCAGGGCAGGCTCTCAGCATTAACCTAATATTTGATGTTATTGAAAAGTATTTCAGAAAAAAAGAATGTGAAAGAGCAAAAATCCTTAAGGAATGGGAAAACTAAAATGAAGGCATGACTATACAATAGCAAAAAAAAAAAAACAGGAAGGAGAAATAGTAAAAGGGGCTCATTTTCTAAAAAGAGTTAGTATGACACAGAGACACAGAAAAGTTGATTTTCTATCTAAAGAGTAGTTTGTTCCTGTTGCTATCAAAAAAAAAAAAAAAAAGTACAAGAAAAGTGTAATATAAGCTAGAGAAAGCAGAAAATTTTAATAAGCTCCTGAATAATAATTACATTATTGTCTTGGTTCTCAGGTGGAACCTCACCTCTTTGCCTGACCTGCCAGTCCCAGGCAGACAGACACACAGGGACGGACAGATGGGTCAGTAACACCTAAAGCCAGGTCTGGGTAGGAGGCCGCAGGCGACGGCTCCGGCGCACACCCGTGCTGGGCACTGCTCTCTGCTGACCCAAGAGCTGCTCCAGCTGAACCGCTCCCGCCAGGGCAGCACACGTCGCTTCCACACACACATGTGTGGGCACAACAGCAAGAGAGACRCTACCTACGGGCGCAGAGGCACCTCGTCTGCAATCACATCCTGCGGATCCCTTCCCCAGCGCCTGCCCAGGACTAAAGGAGGTAACCGGAGAGGGGCAGAGGACTTGCAGCAAGCAAGAAAGCGGTGTTCACCTTCAGTCAAGATGGGGATAATGTGGTAAATATAGCAAAGTAGCCCGAAATCAAGAATCAATTGGGATCTAGCAGGAACAGCCATGGACTGATGCTGCTGCAGCTGCTGATTTCCTCTCTTGAAGGCGAATACTTAGTACAGGTAATCATTAATGACAATGATTAATAATCATTACTCTAGTATACGAGCATGCCCTAACTCTTCAAATACACGTGGCTTTGCTTTTGTATCAGACACAAACACACACACACCAAAAAAAAAAAAAAAAAAAAAGGGGGGGGGGGGGAGTAATTCCAGCCTTCCTGCTAAAAGAAGTCTTTCCATACTGGAGCCACATCCAGCCGTTCGCCAACGTCTCTTCGCAAAGAGGCGGGCACGGAGGCTCGCCTAGGAGCCGCACGGCCCGGCCTGGCCCTCGAGGGGTGACCGGCCGCCCGCCACCGCGCGGGACCGCGGGGGACAAGGCGCGGGCCCGGGGAGCGAGGGGAGCGCCCGGAGGCGGCGGGGGCCGCACGGGGCAGGCACCGCCGAGAAGCAGCTGCCGCAGCCGCCTTCACCGGCGCTCCCCCGGCGAGGCAGCACCTCCCCGCGGGCCGCGGGGCCAGCTCCGCGGCGCGGCTCCCGAGGCGACGGCGCCCGCGCGGCCCGCGCGCTCCCGCAAAGTTTTCCCGCTCGGTAGGAGGACTCCGGCTTCTCCTCACGCGGCAGCAGCCGCTGTCCGCCCGCCGCCAAGTTGCGCCGCGACGCTGCCCCGGGCCGGGCTGCCCCGCGCCGCGCTCACCAGCTCTGGGGCAGCGTCGGCCCCGGCCCCAGCGGCGCCGGCAGCGACGTGAAGGGAGCGGCCCGGGCCAGCCCATCCCGCCGCGGCCCCGGCCCCGCCGCGGGCCTGCGCGTCGCCGCGCCCCCGGGCAGCCATCGAGGGCCCGGCCCGTCGAGGCGGCCGAGGCGAAGGAAGGGGCCCCTCCCGCCGCCGCCCTGCCCGTCCTGGGCCGCCACTCACCCGGGGAGGCTCTGCGTCTCGCTCCCGCCGCCGCCGAGCCCGGCCCCCCGCTGCGGCCCCCGGCGGGGCGGGCGGCGCCGCCTGTTGCTCCATGGTGCTGGGGCTCCTCCTCCTCCTCCCGCGGCTCCTCCCGCTTGAGGCCGCCGCCCCCCGCCAACCCGATCTCAGCCCGGCCGCTCGGCGCCACGTTCCGGACCTGGCTCTGCCGATTCGCCCCCTGGCCGGCCCCGGGGCGGGCCACGGCCGCCTCCGCCCGGGCGGCCCCTCGGGGACGCCATCCTGCCCGGCCTCCCGCCATCGCCCGGCTTGCTGCCCGGCCTGGCCGCTGGGAAGGCCGGGCCCGCTGCCCCGTCTCCCACCGRGCAGCCGCTATGAGCCCCCACGGCACTTTCTGGCACGGGCGTGGGAGACCAATGTCAAACTCTGCAAACAAGCACAGGACACACTCTTCAGTAAGAGGCCAATCACACTTCCATGCAGATAGGCTTTCAGGCAGAGGTTATCAACCACTCCACAGAACCCACAATACTACTGCATAGGCTAGCACAGTGTGCAGCATTAACCTTCATCTTAAGTCCAGAGAGCCTTAAGCTCCATCAGTACTTATTCAGAACCAAGTAAAATATGACAAAATGGTCCCTAATATTTTTTCAGGATGGATCTGTAGAACAAAAAAGAGGAGGCCCTATCTCAGGTATGATCATATGGCTGACTWCAGCTACTCTACTCATCCTTCTCATAGCAAAGGTTTCATTTTAAGTTTGTTCAGAAGTCTARGGTCGGCATATTGGAGGAAGTATTTTGGATGATGCAGGAGCCCAGCAAACTTAGTATTCCTGTTTTACCTGTGAGAACAGTAAGCATCATCTCCATATCTAAGCTAGAAACTGGAAAAGAAGTAACAAAGGTGTAGCTAGTGATGAAAGTAGCCTAAAAATTTTAGTAACTTCATGCAAGAAACATGCTAATGTTGCTGATAGTGAGACAGCTGGATGAACTGCAGCTTGACTATTTGTGGAGGTTTTCGTGCATACACAGTAGTCGCTTCAGTCTTACAAAGTTATTTTTATTAACAATTGCTTTTCCAACAGTTATTCCATTATTAAGTATTTTAATAAAAAAGTCTGCTTTACATAAAGAAACACCACGGTTAGCAAGAGTCACTTTCTTTTTTTCATCTCATTTTCTGAAATGACATAGAAGGAACAGCACGCTTAGAAGAGCCAGATTCTYCCTCATTTTCATGGAGACGTTTTCTACTTGTGGCTGGCTAAAAGAAAGATGCAGTAGGATGACTATATTAATCAGATGAGACAGAGCCCRACTATCATGCCTGCTACAAAATTACAGATAAAGTCCCCTTTCTGTAACCAAAACAGCAGCAGGACTAACAAGTTATGTTATTATCTATCAGATGTGATTCTTCTTACACAATCCACTGTCCATCATTCGTCTTCCTGCTTTCAYTGTCCTCCATCTTTTAACAAAATCAGCTTTATCTTTCACTGGTCTATAAAAAATTGCTAACTAGTGTCTAGCAATGAATGTCATAATACCAAAACTTCCTAAACTTTCATTACCTTGGGATTTTTTCCCTTGGATGTTAAGCATTCATAGAATCCTTAAGTTTGGAAGCGACCTTCAGAGATCATCTAGTCCGACCCCCCTGCACACGCAGGGTCATCTAGAGCATGTGGCACAGGCTGCATCCAAGTGGGTTTGGAAGATCTCCAGAGAAGGAGACTTYACAACCTCTCTTGGCAACCTGATCCAGGTGCTCTGTCACCCTCACTGTTAAGAAATGTTTCCGTAAGTTCCTGCAGAACTTCAGTTTGTGGCTGTTTCCTCTAGTTCTATCAGTGGTCACAACTGAAAAGAGGCCRGCCCCATCCTCCTCACTCCCTCCCTTGAGGTATTTCTAGGCACTTATCAGATGCCCCCTCAGCCTTCTCTTCTCCAGGCTGAGCAGGCCCAGCTCTCTCAGCCTTTCCTCATAGGGCAGATGTTCCAGGCCCCTGATCATCCTCGTAGCCCTGTGCTGGACTCTCTCCAGCAGCTCCACATCCTTCCGGCACTGGGGAGCCCAGAACTGGACACAGTCTCCAGGTGTAGCATGATTTGAATCCATCAAAATACATGCATTCATGAAATTAATTTTAAACTTAAGAAGAATCCTTTAATGTCTCAAAGACTTTTTTTGTTTAAGCTAAAAGTCTTTCCAAGGCATTCACTGGAAAGTCCATTTCTAATGGACTTTCCAAGTCCATTGCAAAAGCAGAGATCACATATATAGCGGACTAGAACATACAGTCAACATGCACACTTCTACAATAAGTTCTAGAAATGATATGATTTTCTTATTATGGATTACTTTAAATCTAGTTTATGCATCAAGCATTAATCTTCAAATGATTTGTTATACATACCATTTTTGATGTTTGTGGTGGATTCATAGTGGCACTTGTTGTTTGTGGTAGATTCATAGTGGCATTTGTTTGGGCAAGTAAATGTTGAAATGTACTCTTCATATCCTCATCCTGTGAAAAAGGTGGTAACTCCAGTACATGGAATATTCCAGGGAAAACTCACTATTTTGTTTCATCACGTGTATCAACAATTAAGGATTTTGAAAGCACACTGCCAGGATACTGAGAATCCCACACATATTGAAGAACAAGTTTAGCTCTGCAGACATTTGCAGGAAAACCAGTAACAAGTAACCAGTGCCAATATGGCACTGACATATTGCTAGAGAAAACTCACCAAACTACTTCATTTTTTTAGATGGTTACATGAAAACTAAAAGGTACAGTCTGATGGTTATAAGAAACATGACCGTTCATGAAGAATATTTAAAACACATTATTTCATTTTAATGAGAGTTTATGGGAGTTTAAGGTACCAATTATTTATTTCTAGTTCAGCCCTCAAAATAGAAGAAAAAAAAAAACTCCTTGCAGAGTAATAAAAGGAATGAATGAATGTTCATGGATGTTATTCCTTACATCACCACGACCACCATTTACAAGAGGAAACATACAGCGCTAGAAGAAAGAATCGATAATGCTAGTTCCCAATTGCTGTAGGGGGACTACACTACACACCACACTACATCATGGACCACAATCCATCCACTAGTCCAAGGTTTAAGAAAGCAATCCTTGTGGAAAGACACACTCACATGATCCAGAACTGAATGCAATTGCTGTCAGCTAGAGAAGAATCAACTAAAACACCCATATGCTACAAAAAACTATTAAACAAAATTGTATGTTAAAAATTATACTTAATGTCAGTAAATCCATTTAGCGTATTAAAGGTCGTAAATGGAGACATCTATAAAGAAAGTGGAGGCAGAACAACTGGGAGAGGTGCATTTGGAAAGGAGAGAACTTAAGGATGTTATTAGTCCCAGTTGTGCATAAACAGGCATTAAGTGGCTGGAAAGGCAGCACAGATAGTTTGCTGAGAGCAGTAAGGTTAACAGAAATTCAGAACAGTTTCAAGAAAAAAGCTAGCATATAGGCCCAAATCTGGTTCAGCAGTCAGTGATGGTCTCATGGTCTCCTCATGGTCTGAGCTGGGCTACCCAGAGAAACAGGAAATGAGCACCAAAAAGGTTTCTAGTGGTCACTGTACTCCCTGTTCTAGAAATGAATGTCTCTAGTTTCAGCAAAAAAGGGGTTTGTATTCTAAACAACAGACTGAAGCTAACAGGTTGTGTAAAAAATCCATTCTATCATCACTGCAAAGACTGGTAAACCCAGAAGTGAACAAGACATTCACCAATACTGCCATAATTAGAAATAAGGATTTTCTAACTCATAAGAATTTCAAATATTTAAATATTTTAACTTTTTCTTTTTTTTTGGGGGGGGGGGGAGGAATGGCAAGGAAGGCTCTTTTTCAAAGCTATGGAGTACTGCAGTATGTCTGTTTTTGCTTTAAGTATGATCTTAAGTACTACAGAAAAGCTTTGATGTGAATATCAAGTTTATTTTATATGGMATTTGGATTCATCCTCCTTTTCTAGTGTACATTTTGACTTTGGCTAAGTTTGAACTTGAATTTGAATTGATAGGCAAGATAATATATTTTCATTTATAGAACAAAAACAACAGAATGTTTTTCAGCACGCAACCAAACTAAGCTTGTCCCATTCAAAGGATCACAGTAAAATTTTAGATGCACAGACAATTTAAGACTCAAAGACCTTTGAAAAATATTTTACTAAGTAACTATTTTGCTAACACAGATTTCTTGATGTTCTGGKTGGAAACCTCAGATGACTCAGGTAAATACAGGTAAGGTATTTCCAATGAGCAGTATTCAGTTTTAAGCAGCCCACTAAGTTTTTAAGCTTTTCATTTTAACAAATAATGGAGCCAAACAGCATAGGTATTTGAAACACTAATTTGAAAGCCTTATTCGTTTATATAAGAACTGAATACATTTTCTTTGAAGAATATGCTTACTTTCAAGTTCTCTAGTAGATCCAAAATTTCTAGAGCATTAACATGCATCAGCTATACAAATAAAGCGTATGTCTGCTGCTTTTCTTTTCTGTACTAAGTTTTAAAGACAATACTTACAGACAATTCAAGAGGGAGTGGGGAGCCAGTAGCTCCTCCTCACTACTCACAGTAACAGCACTCAAGTAGCTCTTTTGGTGGTAGTGTTCAAGGTGTGATATCTAGAACTGAACATATTGGATGTTGGCCTTCCAAGCAGGCAGTATACATCACCTATAAATAACTGATATTCTTAGTCATAGCCCATGAAGGGAAATTGCTTAAAGAATAGCATGTGAACCCTAATTATACTTGTATTTACAGGTATGATATCTTCTTTCTGTCTTGACTTCAAAATTATACATGGCAATAACTGCTCTTCCCAAAGCAATATAGAAATCAAGATGCTAAAACTATTTACATACAGAAATATCTCACTTTCTTTATTTGCCTGAATCACTATCTCATATTTCCCCTTTCCCATTATGCATAACTTTCAGTCTTGGAATCAGTATGACATGACTTATCAATGATAATCCTGCTCAGAAAAATAATCTAGATGTAAAACTCTGCAGTCAATTAGCACACTTCTATTTTAGCTTTGTATAGAACTTGCTTACAAAACTAAAATAGTAAAAGTCAGGAATGTCAGGAAGAATTTTCTAACAAATAATTACAACAAGTTCATGGCTCTTCAAAAGGGTCCAAATGCATTTTCTGTTTCAGGAAACTGCCAACTGTTGAGCACAGAATGATACTTCATTGCTTTTATTCTGTTTGTTAGGCT